CATCTACCCTACAGTCCTCATCTTCACCTTTTAGATTTTGTTTTTGTTCTTCAAACTTAAGAAACATTTAAATTGGACACAATTTGACCCTCTAACTTAAGAGAGCCATACTGCCCACCCTACCATTTGGGTGCAGTGTGAACTGAAGGGAAGATAATTCTTTGGGAAAGTTTAGATAGAAATGCTTCATTTATCAGACATTAAAGACCCAGAACAAAAAGTCATATCCATGTGAATGAGGGGGAGTGCAGAGTGGAGACCCAAAGCCCATCTGTAGACAATTGGACTCTCCTTACAGAAGGGTCACAAGGAAAACATAAGCCAGTCAAGGTGCAGTGTAGCACTGATAAAACATACAATTTTCATCTAGTTCTTTAATGCTTCCTCCCTCTCCCCCACTATCTTGAGCTCAATTCTACCTTACAAATCCGCTGGACCAGAGCACATACACTGGTACAAATAAGAACTGGAAACATGGAATCCAGGACAGACAAACTCTTCAGGACCAAAAGAATTATTTCTTGACTTTCCCTCTAGTCCCAGTAATAGTGGGCCCTGAAATAGTAGACCATTGAGACAGGGATTAGAATGACCATGTACAATCTCTACAAATATGTATATTTGACTGATATCTCCCAAGCATTCTTCCTTCTCTTCTAGCTCTATTTAATCCTACAGAGATGAGATGGAAGGATTAGAAAAATGTGTCCAAAAAATGATACTGAGGGCTCAAGTAGAAAGAAAATGTTTTCAAAACAATGATGCCAACAAATGTACAAAGTGCTGGACACAATGGATGGATGGATTTTGAAAAGAGCTGTATGAGACTCCAATAAAATGATTAAAACACAAGAAATGCTGCCTTTGAAAATGTGTAGCGTACATGGAACTTGTGGTGAGAAATGATAGCTTCCCTTTATGACAATGTTTAATGAAGGTTTCTATGATTTAGTAGCAATATGTTTTTACTTACTTTCCTATATTCATTTTCTACATATGCAGAAGAGACTTTAGTTCTTGGGTACACACTCTATTTCCATTATTTTTCACCTTTCTTAGTTTCATTATTAGTCTCTGTGAACATTAAAATTGTGTCTTAATAGTGATGCTAACTTTTCTCTCCATTTACTCGAAACCAATCAAAATAAGGAAATATAATATTCTATGATATGTGAGAGAATTTTTGAAAATTTTATTATTAATTCAGCTTTTTAAAAGTAATATTTCTATTTTATTTTTTAAAGTTTGGTAAAGTATAAGGATGCATATAAATGGTAATTATAAAATTACATGTAATTCCATTAAAAATAATTATCACATGAAAATGTTATTTCTAACTTTTAAAAATATACAATTCTATATACCATTTTACAACATAGCATTCAAAAATATGCTTTCAGCATTTTCTAGTTTGTAAGCATGATCCAATTGGGTCAATCCATCCCAATAAGGGTCTGCCACCTTTTTACTTGCTCTCTGGTTTACCAAATATGATTGCTGTTCTTTTCCCGGGACTGGTTTTTCATGATATAGTGCCCAAAGTAGGAGAGACACCCAAACACACAACTCTTATCACACTCCATACAAACATCATTGTTAATTCAGTTTTGAACGACTGTCCATAACTTCAATTTCTTCAACAAAAACTCTCTTGGGTACAGATAGGAACAAGAGTCATTGACCTAAAAAAAAAGTGATTAACCTTGGGGATTGGCGCCCAGGGGTATGGGATGAGGTGGTGTCAAATATTACATTGTGTGGATTTGGAAAGATAATCCACCACTCTTTCAATTCCTCAAGAGAATTGCATCACAGCCAGGCTCCATGGCTGATACTGCATTTGTCTTACATTTGCCTTGTCGGAAAGAATTTGCCAAGAAAATCCATGCCTTGTCACTCTAGCATATAAGTAAATGCAAATAAGAATGTTGGAAAAGTGGCATAGTCTGTAATATAACAGTGTTCTGATATCCGGGAAGAACAACGTGTAGAAATAGCCTAAGGAAAATATGGATAGTGGTACCCCAAAACGTGCACAAGGAGTCACTCTGAATAGTAATCCTTTCAAAACTGTAAACGTAGCTGTCTGGATTTGAGCAAGAATGTGCGGAATATAAGCAAGCAACAGTGACCTTCAGATTCAGGTGAGTATATAATGCTGAGATAAAAACAGAAGAGGCTTATAGATTAACAAACATTTTTCTTAGACTACCTTTTCACGTGCTAATAGTTATGCAGATATAAACACGGTGACAAAACAAGTGGCTTTTTATCTCTATTAAATGTTGTGCATTCTTTGTATTAAAAAGATCTGGGAAAAACGAAGTGCTAGGTTTATGGAGCCCAAACCAACTCATTGCCATAGAGCCAGCGCCAACTCATCCGGACTCTGTAGGACGGAGTAGAAATGCCCCTCTGCGTTTCTGAGACGCTACATCTTAAAGGGAGGAGAAAGCCTCATCTTTTGTCTCCAATTTAAAGGGAGTTGATATTTATTTGCTCTTCATCAGTGGATCTTGGACTCAGCAGGATTGTCAGGGGTGAACATAAAGAATGAGTAGAAAGAGTACCACAGAGAGAAACACATTGTCCATGTTTTTATGTCAACAAACTAAAGGGAATCAGGCATTTTGAGGTACAAGGAAAAACAAGATTTAGTGTTTTATATAACAAAAATAAAAAGATGTTCTTTAAGGGGAAAGTAGCAAGCACGACACAGATATGAACTGAAAAACAACCCTTGAAAGTTCGTTTTCCTGGTTAATAGAAGATTATGTTTACTTTAGTCCCCCAGAAAAGTGAACTTGAAGTTGGACAGCAAAAGGATTATTGCAGAGCCTTGAAATTTTATAGTAGGGATGTACTATAAATTAAAAAGAAAGAAAAAAATGTTAACAGGAGTAATCCGAATTTCTGGTATAACATGTATTAAAACTTGAAGCATATTTTGCCACCCTGGAAAGAACAAGTACATAAAAACACAGATGGCACAAGTTTGGTGAAAGTCGTTGGACAAACAAATTAAAAAGTCAGTTTCCAAAGAAGAAGGAAAGGAGGAGGATTATAAATCAAAACATAGGATATAAATCAAAAATTAGGAAAAATAACCTGGCAGAGGAGAAGAAAATCTCTTGATGCTGGGTTTAAGAGAGGGCGATGAGAGTTTAGTGTGTGTAACATGGTGACCAATATTTTATAGCTGAAAGAAGAAAACTTTATTTTCCTGGTATATTTAAAGATTTATGCTATGGCATAGCCATAAAAATGAGTCAAGATTAAAATAACAATTTTTTTCAATATCCTCTAGTATATTTCAGATATTTTTTAATTTTTATATTATCAGCTATATTGATGATCGACAAAAATAATTTTGATTAATGCAAGTAAATGCCATGTATACATCGGTAAGTATATTCTTTGCTAATAAAATATTGAGACTAGTGTTTTTATCCTTTTACCTTTTATTGTGATTTGGCTTTAAGTTTAGAGAGAAACTAATTTTCCATTAAACATCTTGCTGTTCCATGACATTAATCACAAGCCCCACAAAGTAGCGGAGCTCTCCCTACTTACCAAAATCCACCCTTCCTCCATATCTTTCCCTGCTTTCTGAGCTTTATCGCTGGAAAGACACAGTCCCTTTCAGTCTGGTGGTTGATTCTTTCAAGTCATTCATACCTCCCTGAGGTTTCCATACAGTTCAGTTCAGAGTTTGAAGGGGTAAAAAGTGCAGTAGTCTTTGAGGTTCCAGTGGTATTTACCAGAACAGTAAGCCTTATACTTTTTATTGTTTTAAGTTTTTTTCCACATTTTTTTTTTCAATTGTAACCACAGCCTTCTATTCTAATCCCTTTCAGAATGAGAGGCAGTGGTAGCAGGGTACCATCACCTGGTTTCAGGGTTCTGGAGGCTGAGCTTTAGGATGTCCACTAGTCCTTTGAACTGTTTTATGCATCTTTGATTTTCTCCACTCTTCTTTTCACTGACTAGAAAAAGACCTCTAGTCAGTGGCCAGTGGCCAGTGACACTTTATATGGCCACTCGCCCACTGTGATCACCTCAGTGGCTACTCATTAAATTACGTTGTAGAATGTGTTCTTTGTGAACTATGTTTCTGAGCCCCTCGATCCCACTGCTCATTCACTCAAGAACATAGGGTATGGTTAGCAAGTGGTATTAGAATATTTTACTTTACAAATAGTCATTGTGAATAACCTTTTAATCCATTGTTCTTTAAAACGCAAATATGTCAACACAAAATTCATAGAAATAAAATTTCTATGGTTTAACTCATGCAAAAAAATTTAGCCATTTATAATATTTTTGCTATATACTGTAACCAATTTTATTTGTATTGTTTGTATTTAAAATACATGATTTACCTAGTGCACTGAGAGAATATTTTCCTAGGATTCACTACTGGGCTACGATGTTTGAAATATCCTGGTTGAAGTTCTATATTATACCTATAAAAGCTGACATATACATTCAGCTTCTCAGAGTCTTTATAACTTGATAAATACCCTAAGATAGCATGTAATTTTCTTTTCATGAATTCCTAGTGGACTGGGAGCATGAAAGAGTATTTCTTAAGTAATAAAGAAAAAAAACATAGATAACTGAGTAAGCTGCAGAAACTATGAGAAAACTAAACTGATATTCAACAGCATGTTTTCAATAAACAGACATAAATGCCTACACACCAATTGTTAGAAGGTTTTATTTTCATGTTGAACCAAGTGTGAGTTTGTATGTACTTACATTGAGAGAGAGGAAATGAAGAAGCATGAGAATGAGATAAGGCATCAAGATGCAGAAAAACACATGAGGTGAACCACTCTGGGAGCTGTTCTGCATCCATGTAAATGTTAGATAAAATACCCTTCAAAGTGACGTTAACCTCTTTAACTTAATACATTTCCATCAATCTAGGTTTTTCAAAAAGGTAACAGAGGAGAGAAGACCAGCACTGAAGCACCAGCTGCTCTCTCTCCATCATTATGTCCAAGCTCAATGTCACAATCTTCATGCCCCCACTGCTGACACTGATCGGTATCCCTGGCTTGGAATCTGTGCAGTTCTGGATTGGAATTCCCTTCTGTGCCATGTATGTCATCGCCCTCTTGGGCAATTGCCTGCTTCTTGCCATCATCAAATCCGAGCGAAGCCTCCATGAGCCCATGTATCTCTTCCTGGCAATGCTTGGAGCAACAGACATTGCTCTCAGTACGTGCATCCTACCCAAAATGCTAGGGATATTTTGGTTCCATTTAGCAGAGATATATTTCGAAGTCTGTCTCCTGCAAATGTGGCTCATCCACACATTCCAGTGTATTGAGTCCGGTATTCTGCTGGCTATGGCCCTGGACCGCTATGTGGCAATCTGTGATCCTCTGCGACATGCAACCATTTGAACTCATCAGCGTCTTACTCAGATTGGAGTTGCAGTGACTCTCAGAGCTGCCCTCCTTGCAGCTCCGAGTCTCATTCTCATCAAATGCCGGCTCAGGTTCTACCGAACCACTGTGGTCTCTCACTCATACTGTGAGCACATGGCCATCGTGAAGTTAGCAGCAGAAGATGTCCGAATCAACAAGATCTATGGTCTGTTTGTGGCTTTCAGTATTCTAGGATTTGACATAATCTTCATCACACTCTCCTACATCTGCATATTTGTAACAGTCTTCAACTTGCCTCAAAAGGAAGCAAGATCCAAAGCCTTCAACACCTGCATCGCTCACATCTGCGTCTTCCTGGAGTTTTACCTCTTGGCTTTCTTCTCCTTCTTTACACATAGGTTTGGGTTCCACATTCCATCCTACATTCATATTCTTCTGTCCAATCTGTATCTGCTTGTCCCACCTTTGCTCAACCCTGTAGTTTATGGGGTAAAGACCAAGCAGATTCGACATCGAGTGTCCAGAATTTTCTACTCCAAGGACCGGTCTTGATTTCTCAGTTAACATGTTTCATTTTAAATGGCAAAAGTCAATTCAGAGAAACACTGTCTTTGAGGAGTATCTGTTATTTGACTTTTTATTGTGTGCCGAAATATAACATTGTAGATTCACATAGAGACAACTTGTGAGGTTCTCATTCCTTAATAGGTGGAGAATTATTTGAACAATTGTTAATCACCTTTCATTAGGGGTTTACATAAAAAGTAGATTTAATAAATATTTGTCAGGAGACTATTTATCTTTTAGTGAGGAAAATTGCTTAAATGCAATTGCTTAGCATTAGTTTAAAATTATTAAAAACATGAAATTATTTCGGTACAAAAATCCATGAACCACTTCCTGGCTCTAAGTACTGGTTTTCATATAAATAAAAATATACACAGATACATAACAAACAAAGAAAAACAACAAAATGAAACATTAAAAAACCCTCACTTGTAAAGGTATTAGAAAATAATAAAAACCAGAACAAATTTAGGAGAACAAAAAATAAGGTGTTAAAATTAAACCTAACTGCATCCACATTACTCTCCTTTCAATGCACTCTGTGGGAGAGCGAGGCCCGTGGTCAGAGAGGATTCACCCAAGGTTTATTCTCAGTGGTGACAGTGCAAGTGGAGTTTGAGCTTTCATTGTCAATGATCGTCTTCCACAGACTGGGTGCTCAGCATTTATGCTCTAACTGGTTACGATTTTCTGGGAGTTATGGCAGGAGAGACTTGTGGGAATAGGAGCTAATGATGAGGACCAAAAAGCAGAAAATGTTCCAATATTGATTGTGGTCACATTGCACAACTGTAATACATTTAAACGATTGAATTGTGTGATACGTGAATTGTTGTCAATAAAACTGTTCAAACATTTTTAAAAAATCAATAAACCTATGTTGATACTATAAGATTAAATAAAGTCCATAATTTTATTTTAGTCTTTACCTAATGTCCTTTTCTATACCATAATCGCATCCAAGACATTGAATCCAATGTATTTCTGAGCCTTTCCTTGTTCCCTATGACCCTGACAATCTTGCGAAATATTCGTGTGGTGTTTTGTAGAATACCCTTTTATTGTATTCCTTTTTCCTGTTTTGTCATAATTAGGTCCAGCTTATAAGAATTAGCTGCTATTTTGATCACATCATACCAAAGGTATAGACTATCATCATGATTTCTCATTTAGTGTATTTTGATAATATGTCTCAGGTAGTGTTTACCAAGTTTATTTATTGACAAGATATTCTTTTAAAAATAAAATACCATTTTGATCGTGTACACTTTAGAAGACAAGCACTAGAGACCATATTTAAGAAGTGGGATTTTATGTTTCTCTTTTCTGAGGTAGAAGTGTCTGCAGACATTATTTGGACTGCTTTGGCATAAGACATTTGCTTATTCTGCCATTTTCATTAATTCACACAGTATTTTATTTATAACACTATGAACTTATGAATTTTGCACATTAAAACCTGTGAGAACTAGAACTTTACATGAATACATTGTTTTTCAAGGTCTCTAAGGTTTCTACCTTTTAACAGGGTTCCTAGTTGGTGTAGAGGTTATTTGTTGGGCTGCAACCTGTAAGGTCAGTAGTTTGAAATGACTAGCTTCTCCATGAGAGAAAGATGGGGCTTTCTACTCCCATGAAGAGTTACAGACTCAGAAGCCTATGGGGCAGCTCTACCCTATCCTATAGGGCCACCATGAATCACCATAAAGTAAATGGCAACGAGAGGCTTTCCACCTCTTAATAGAATGAATTCTTATGACTTCTCTCTGTCTCATTTTAGTGGAAATATTTTTCATTGTTCTTCTCTCATGGGTTCCTGCGTACAGTCCACTCAATTCAAATTTACTTAGGGCAGTACCATGTCTCATCGTTACTTTACCCTTGAACTGAACTTGTTTAAAACGTTTAAAAATTCCGTTTGTTATGATTGTCAAAATTTCCATTTCTTCTTTGAATATATTTTATTTAAAGTGTCAAGAGAAAACTGAGTCAAATCTTAAGATAAGATAATGATTTTCGCAGGTAAAAGTGTTAGTAGGGGGAACGTTTTTAAGCAGAGAGGGCATTACAAATCAGTGGGAAATAAATAGCAAGAGAAGAAAAATGGAATCTATAAAATCATGATGTCATGACAGCAAAAGTGAACCAAATGAAACACTTTATAATTCATTCTATTAGGCGTTCAATACTTTACCAGCAAAAGTATACAAAGACATTACTAGAAAGGAAACCACCAATACCTCTCATGACCAAAAATACAAAATCATGAGCAATATATTGACAAGTTACAAGAAAAAAAGTGAATTAAATTACAGATTTCCATTAGAAAACTAAAAAAGACAACCAAAAGAAAAGAGCTGGATTTGACCTTGACCTCCTTGGAAATTCAAAGGCAGTGCAATGTTAATGGGGAAAACACTAAACAGTCTTGAATAAGATAAACTTGGCTCCAAGTGATAAAATTAGGGCAATGCTTAAAACAACTAGGTTAAAATCTATTTTTTAATATAAAGTCTAGAGTTATAATTGATCAACTACACAGAATCTGAATGTGTCAGACCTATGCAAAAACTGTAGCACATATCAAGTTTTGGGCCTTGCAGCAATTGAAATTTTACAAAAATATAGCCACACCCATTCAATTATGAATTGCAAGTGTTCTTGTACTATGGTGGCAAAATAATAGAGCTTATTGCATAAAATTTGAAATATTTACAACCAGTTCATTTACAAAAAATTCTTGGCCCACCCATGGTTTACACCTACAGTGAATAAATAGACTTTTGAACAGAGTATTTGTACATGGACTAGAAGTAGTTTTGTTCACTCCATGAATAATGAGGTCAATATTCTTAATGACGGAAAAAAATAATTATTTTGTTTAATATAAGAGTGTTTTTTATTCTATATAAGGAGTAGAAAAAAATGATTTCATATTGACTTCAAAGTGGTTGCTAAGCACATTACTAAGTAGGATTTTCAGATCCTTCATGTTTGACTCAAATTAGGAAAGCATTGCCATAATGTTACCAGATGCATTCATAGGACAATTCTCTAATAAAATATGAAATATTCTTGTTTTGAGTTCTGCCAGCCTATGAAAGACTGTATTAGATTTAAAAGTGTTTAAGGGAGGCTCAAGAAATGTACCAATCAAAAAGAAGAGAAGATATAAGGGAACACAAATGTGAAATATTTAGAATTACATGCTTTCATCTTCATAAAGTAAGTAATCATTTACTATTTGTGTTCAGGCGTGCACCATAGTGTGGCATTTAAAACAATGTATTCTAAAGCTATAGTCCTTGGATGGAAGTGTTGTTCCATCACATTCTTACTGATTTGCTTTGGAAAACTTACACAAACTGCATGTGCCTCTGCTTTCTATTTATAATATTAACACATGTGATAGCCCCATTTTGTAGGTTAACCCTTTCATGACTTGTGGGACATATGACATCCACAACAAATGTTGTTAAGACCTTGCTTGGATCTACACTGAAGGCTCATGGAAGCAGCAATCAAGAAATCAAATGACACATTACATATGTATTCTGCACAAGACCTCTTCAAAGGGTGGAAGGACAAGGCTGTCACTTGGAAGGCTAATTATGGGGCTGGTGAGTACTATTAAAAGTAACACAGACTGCCAGCACAAACAAACAAATCTATCCTGGAAGAGTATAGCCAGAAAGTTCCTTGGAAAAGTGGATTGCAAAATTTTGTTTCACATATTTTGGACAGGTTATCAGGAGATACTGGTCCCTGGAAAGTGGAAGGGCAGCAGAAAAGAGGAAGACCCTCCATGAGATGGATCATCACAGTGGCTGCAACAATCAGCTGAAAGCTAACAATGCTTGTGAGAATGGCACTATCAAAGCAGTGTTTCACTTTGTTGAGCATGGAGTCACTGAGACTGAACTGACTAGCTGGCTCCTGACAACAATATTTCCAGTCTCTCCAATTTCTTGCAAAGCTGCAATCATGATTGCAAGTGCTGGTACTGACTTCCTGTATAATTCAATGAATCTGAAGAAATGGGCCTCAGACTACCAATCCTGCTATTAGATCCCTTGTTGAGCATATGTGCCCCAGGTAATTGTTTCAAAATCTATATTACCTCTTTTTTTGTTTTTTTTTTAGCTTGATATCAGACTGTCTTCTGTTACTGAAAATACATGGCAACAACAGTAACTGCAAAGCAGAAAATAATTCCGTCATGAAAGGGTTAGCTGAGTGAATATGTGTAAAGGGCTTAGAAAAGGACCAAAAGTGGAGCAGTCATTATCAGAATAAATTGTTATTATTATTTGGAAAATAAAAAATTGACTAGAAAACCATGACTTTCACTCAGAGACAGTTTAACTTTTTTTAAAGGTAAGTTTCCATAAATTGTACTGTCCCATGTATTGAGAGCTTTTACACTCTCACAAAAATTGACCCATTCATTTGATATTTGTGAATATAACAAGATAATAATGACTCAGTGGAAGTAATGATGCCATATTAACTGAAAGATTATTTTATTTGTTAAATAAATTGAAAACATGAAAGGAAATGGATAGAACAAATATACATCATATATCCCCACTAGTAAGAATAGTTCAGTTGTGAAATAAAATGATAAAGACTAGATTAAAACTTGTAATTAATGTCTATAAACATCATGAACCAGATTCTACTAACAGTAGCTGCTTTTTTCCCCAGAAAAGGTTATGCTTTCAAAAAAATTTTAGTTTACAGAAAGTTTTTTGCTTGGGAAAAAGAGACCTACCACTCAGTCACATATTTGCTTGGTCTTGACACCATACACCAGGGGGTTTACTGCTGGGGGAACAAGAAGGTACATACTTGCAAAAATTATGTGGACACTTGGGGGTACCTTTTTGCCTATGCGATGAGTTAGGAAACTGAACAGAGCAGGTGTGTAGGAAACAAGTATAGTGCAGACGTGGGCAGCACAGGTACCTAGTGCTTTAGAACGGGCATTCTGGGAAGAGAGCCGAAAGACAGCTTGGAGGATTTTGACATAGGATGTGGCTATAAATCCTAGGTCCAATAGCATCACTGAAAGGGCCACAGAGATGCCATATGCTCTGTTAATGTGAGTACTGGCACTGGCCAATTTCACCACAGCCATGTGCTCACAGTATGTATGATTAATGATATATTTAGTATAGTAAGGTAGTCTCTTAATGAGAAGAGGACAGGGTAACACCATAAGGACAGCTCGGGTTATTCCTGTTAGCCCCATCTTGATTACCATCGGTGTAGTTAGGATGGTTGTATAACGCAGAGGGATGCAAATAGCTACATAGCGGTCAAAGGCCATGGCAACAAGGAGGGCTGATTCAAAAATACAAAATGTGTGAATGAAATACATTTGTGCTAAGCAGACACCAAAGACATACCAGTGAGCATCCAACCAGAAGATGCCAAGCATTCTGGGAGCTGTGGAAGACGCAAGAACCATACCATTCATTGCCAGCATGCAAAGGAAGAAATACATAGGCTGGTGGAGGCTTGGCTCTAACTTGATGGTAACAATGATTACAGTATTCCCCAGCAGGGTGAGGGCAAACAGGAGGCAAACAGGAATACCAATCCAGGAGTGAAAAGCTTGTAAACCAAGAATACCAACCAGGAAGAAAGATGAGATGTAGTCGTGTATAGCATTTTCTGCCATGTTAAAATTGGAGGAGTGGCATGGGCAGATACCAAATAGCAAGGCAAAAGTCCTGTGGGCAGAAAGCAGGATGATGGAATGACTCTTCCATGATCCCGCCTGTGGGGAATGAAGGTGCAATCTACAATAACCTATCTGAAAATATCTCTTCTTCTAAACCCCCATAAGCACTTGGATAATGTACTTCACCATTCGTAATTTCAAGATCTGCATCTGTAAAAAAGAAGATTGAGTTCCTAAAGATTGAGTTCCTTTATCTATTTTTATTATTTCTGAAGTTTTATCCAATTCTTGTGATTTTAAATTCCTATTAAATGTTCACTTAGAAGTGAAAATTTTTTTATAATTGGGTCTAATATATCATAGGATATTATATATAATAAGTTCATAATTGGGTCTAATATATCATAGGATATTATATATAATAAGATATATACATAGAGAGAGAGATATAGGTATATATGAAGCCTAGGACACTAAGATAAATTGAGATTTCATGTGGAGCTAGAGGCATAAAAGCATACAAACAATTGTTAAAACAGACAGTTAAAGATGTAATTTTTCCATTATTTTGTTAATACCCTTATATAGAGGTTTCACAGTTAAAAAAATAAAACAGAATAAATTCCCTTAATGCTAAAACATAAGGATGATGATTGTCAACATTAGTGCAGTATATATACTCTATTATCATTCCAATGATAATTAGTTCAAAAGATAATTATCTTGAGAAGGATGAGATAATACTCCTTGTGATAGATGAGATAATACATCTATATAATAAACAGTGAAAATAACTGCTGAAAATAGGGGGGCGCATTTAAAATATTATATTTATCTATCATGTCCAATGATTTAAAATACTACAAGTAAGTGTATTAGCTATTAATGAGATGATATGTCCATTTTATGAAGGCCTATTACCAGCTATGGAATCACCCCTAACTCTCTAATATCTATCTTGTCCAATTGCAGTGGAGAACAAAGCAATGACAGTCTGAGTATCATCGATAGCATTTGCTCTTTTCTCTGTCCTTGAATTTCGGTGACTGATGGGAACAACTGTCAGGAAGGTGCTGGACCAGGCAGTGTTGCGTTCTGTTGTGCATACTGTCTCTGTGGGTTGGAATCAACCCGATGGCACCTAACGACAATAACGTTCTCCCTAAGTTATAACCTTTACTTAATATTAGAATTCTAGACTATATATCCCAGTATTCATACCATTCTTTTAAAATTTATAATTTCCCCCAGCTTCTCAATACCGATTCTGTGATATCATGGATGGGGTAGTCAAGAAATATTACTACATGTTTGTAATGAAAATATGTTCTGGTCAGAAACTGTTCCAGTTTCTGTCCAGTCTAATTGCTTCCATGAACAACTATCACCTTTGTCAAGAATTAGAAAAACAGCATGATTCCTGGCTACCATTATTGAACAGTCTGATAAAAAATTCTTTAGGAGAATTCAGATCCAAAAGGAAAACACTAAGAAACATAATTTCAAATTCTCATTGAATGTTGACTTGCTGGAGCTGGTGGAGCTCGATGCACCTCTACTCCACCACAAAAGAAAAGAAGAGAAAAACAAACAATCTATTGTCTTTAGGTAATCTAAGAAGTCCGGTATTAAAAATCATCCCATCAAGTCATCTTTAACTGTGACTTAGCTTAATTACTAACGGTGGTTTGGCGTGAAGAAACCTATAACACTTTGATTTATTTAGTTTAAGGAAGAGAAGAAAGAAGGAAGAGAAGAAAGGAGGGAGGGAAGCAGGAAGGTAGGGAGGGAAGAAGAAACCATCTCTGGCTAAACGGCCACATATCTGTGTCGAGAAAGGTTCTAATTATGGTGTGCACATTCTTATTAAACTCAGTTATTGTGGGTGTATGAGTGAGTATATGAAATGTTTCTTCAAACGAAATTGAGAAATATCAAATGAATAATGAAATATTATATAAAAGTTCACAGCTAAAACTTTAGCCAAAAATGCAGAAACGTAGAAGCTGTGTAAATTGCTACATTAGGAGATGAGTCCTGGACAGAGATAATACTTTAAGATAAAATTT